TTCCCTACACGACGCTCTTCCGATCTCCCCAAAACCCCAAAACCCCATCAATTTAATAATAGTAACAATTTGGACAATATACTAGGATAATAATAAATTGTGATTTTAATGTCGACAGCAGTATAAAAGTAACTAGAAGAATATAGAAAGAGACAGTCTCAAAGATATTAGTAGGTTGAAGGTAACATAATAATTGAAGCATCTAATTGAATTATCAGAAAAGGAGACTGCTCCTCAATTGGAAGATCTAAGTTTGCGGCCAGATGAAGAAGAGATTAAGAAGAGGTAAGAGTAAGAGGATCTTGAATTGGCCAAAAAAATTCAAGTATGAATAAATAAACATAAAAGACATCATCCAATTTAGGAAGAGCTAGAAATGGAGGAACTAAGATAGCAAGAAAATATGTTGAATGGTCACAATGAAAATAATAGCAATAGACAGTTCTACGATAGAGCTTATGATTAGAATCAGGACATGTCTTGGCCCTAGCAAAGAACCGGAATTCAATCGACACCAGCTCTCTCAAATGATTATGATTATACTCAAAAATTTAATATGGATGGAACAATAAGGCCTCCTGACTAAGAAAAAGTAGAGAAATTGATCCCAGATGAAAATGATATTGCCATGGATGAAATGAGATACTAATAATTCTTGCTTCAATAGCAACTCTTATTGCAGGAAATTGAGAGCAGAAAATAAACATAAAGAAATCCGAATTCCCTAAGATCTGCCAGATAGGGGTCAACTTAGAGATAAAGATCACTAAGAGAAGGAACAGCCCAATAGCCCCTCTTAGATTAAGAGAACTAATAAATAGTTCAGTAGCAATAAGTTAATAACTAGCAAATGGTGTAGGAGAATTAAGAAGTATAAAACCTGCAAATGCAATAGTAAAACAAGAAAAGACTGATAGTAATTTTAGGTATCTCAGCATTTCTGATAATTGGTTACACATTATTTGTTGTATTTGCAGTATCTAAATGAATAAACCAATAAGTGGTTTCTGTTATTAAAATGCCAAACTATATATTAGACCTTGAATGATTTTAATGATTGAGTATATTAATCTCTATTAATTTGTTAAATATTAGAGCCTATATAAACCATGAATATTCACCCTGTTTCATCATAAAAATGTTCTTAGACACTTTAATATAATAATCATTAACTCAGCTTTTTCTAAGCATGAGTAATCTTTCATACACACCTTATTTGTCAATCTTCCAAAGCTATTCGAATTCCTGCATATCCATGCCTAGTTAACGAGCCATTTAGTATCTTGCTAAGTGCTTCAAGAAACTTACATCATCTCTAAATTAAAATAACTTTAAATCAATTCATACCTTGGCTGTATTTTGTTAAAAGTTGGCCCATTAGCTTCTTTGAAAGTTGAATAATTAAAGTTATTCAGTAAACCTTTGTAATTAAGATCCCCGTCAACGTCTTTTTGTTCTTTTCTACCAGGAATTTTGAGTAAATCTAGGTTTTCATTTTTCATTTTAGCATACAGCTGACTTGTACTGTAATCATAAGATCCTACTGGAGGAGCTTTTTCTTTTTTCTCGTTGATGAATTATCTTTCAATAGAACTTTTGAAATTTGCAGTACCACATCTTTTATTGAGATTATTGACTACCATACTCTCAATTATTGTTTCATCTTCTGGTAAATCAGTTATTCCTTCTACTTTATTCTTATTTTATTAAATAAGTGAATCCTTATCAAAGACTTTTACTTTAAAATAAGATCTCCTTTTATGCTACTCAAGCTCCTTAAACAATTACTGATCACCATTGATAAATGAATGCTTAAATCTCGAAGGCATCATCTCTGGATTTTAAGAGTTAAGATCTTCAACAACTTTAGGATTGTTTCCCAAAAAATCACTGAAATTAGTTGAATTAAGTATGCTCTAATTCAATCTGTATTCTTATGGTGAATTTTAAGAGAATGAGGTATTTTTATAATTGTTTGTCAAGCTAGTAAATATATTGTTCTTGAATAATGATATTTTGAACTATTTCTTTTTCTATTTTTGCATCTATCTTTTTCTGCTAGAGGAACTGGATCTCTACAACAATGAGTCTTTCTCCTAATTCAAAGCAGCTTTAAGTTTTCTGGCTTTGTTTATTGGACTTTAAGATATATTATGAACAGAATATTTTTTTATCAAGTCTGAAGTTTTATTTAGCTTAATCTCCTATACGTTATTTTCCTCTTCGATATTTCGACTTTACTCCTAATAAACTAAGGAATTGAAAAACTTACATTAGGAACAAATGATTTCTAAAGTTTTTCCATTTCATGATGCTCAAGTTAATCGAAATATTTTGTATTTTTAAGTGGAGAATTAGGTTGCTCCTTCCATCTTCGAGGGATTTCATCAGCGAATTCAATTTTATCCTTTTCTTTTCTTGGTCTAAAAACTATTGTTTTCTTAACATAAGGTCTGTTATGTCTTTAGTGATCTAGAAAATCCTATATTCATTGGAACTTTTAATTTATTTACATTCTAAATTAGCCTTCCTAGCTAATCTCTTTCGTCAACAAAAGGAATGAAATCTCTTTTGTCATGTTTCAATTCGTTCTTGATATGCTCAATATCCTGTTTCATGAATTGATTGATAATTCTTTTAACATGCCCATGATTATTTAGTTTTGAATGCTACTCTAAATTTTTAGACCCACTGATTACACCACTATCTTTTATTAATTTCATATCCTAAAATGTGCGATTAAGCATGCTTTAGATATCATTTTGCATTTTATTTCTCCTGAAGTCAATGGTCTACTAGGTTCTTGATTAAAAACTCATGTCATTAATTCTGTTTCTACCGTTGATTGCTTAAGAGGAAGCCATTCTATGCTTAATTATTTGCTTTTTTATTTGATTGGCTCTATCAATTGATTGATTCATTAAGCTTCTAGCGTTTTTGTGGTAAATGGATACTGTAGTAGAATTATAAGTGGCTCCGCTGAATCCAGTCCTCTAATAAAATAGTTTTTATAATAACTTGTAAATTAGATACTTCTTAGAATTTAGATGTTTCTTTTAAATTATGTCTAGAATCTTTTGATGATCTCATAACCTATTTCATAATTTGCTTAGGATTATTAATTACAGTCTTGTATTGATCTTAGTTGATTGACTTCATGATAAGTCTAGCTTTGAATCAGAATAAAAGTCTAATCTTTATTTATTATTAGTAAGATTATATTAATTTTAATTTTAGTAAATAATTTATAATGAGCAAATCAAGGCAGCCTAACTTGGGAAGAGGTAACGGATAAATAAGTGATTAAAATGGGGACTTTACAATATCAGAAGCAATTATATCTACTTAAACAGTTGCAAAACTCTAAAAAGAAGTTTAAAAATTAAAATCAGTTATTTCAGAGGTTTAAGACATGCTATATAAAAATCAGATGTCAATGAGAAATGATATGGTTGATGAGACTAAGCTATAAGTTACAATTGAAATGTATAAAAAAGAAATTGAAGCCAAAATAGCAATCGATCTTAATATTTTTAAAGGAAAACTTAAAGAAAAGCTTTAAAAAAGATGCAAGGTTATAGATATTGAAGAAAGAATGCAAGGGAAGGTCTAGTATACAGAGTTTACAAAGAATTCAGAAAAACTGAATGATTCCTTTAAACTTCTTGAAGGAAGGCTTACACATATGTTAAATGTCTAAAGAGTAGACATGCTAAAGGGCATGGAGAGAAAAGCAGAAAGCAGAGAAGTAGAGTTACTGAAAAAGAATAAGGTTGACAAGGAATCGTTTCAAGAACTCATACATAGAATGGATGAACTCGAGGAATATGCAAAGAATGCAATGGACAACTCAGAAAGTGATGATTAAAGTGAGGATGATGATACCATAGTATAACTAGATACAGAGGAAAATAAAAATGGCTAGAATGAAACAACTTCAAGCCAAAAGTTAATTGTTAATAAATCTATATCAGATAGTAAGAAGTAAGCTCCAAAAAATCAGACAACCCAAGCTTTGTTTAAACCAAGAAAGCTAACAGGCACTACAGGAGAAATGATAAAAATAATTGATGATAGAAGTGATCATACTTTTGGAATGACTATGTAAGAAGAATTTAAAAAACAAATTAATGTTAACATTCCAACTGCAGCCCTCGATGATGCTTATGATTAGGTTAGGTTCAAAGAATCATAAAGTGAAATCTCTTAATTTCACAACGCTTAAAACTAATAACTTTAAGTTCTAAACGACACAAGAAATGACTCACATTCTTAATCTGTTCTAACAAGAAAATCTAAAAAATCTAGTGTGGTAGTAAAAAGCTCTTCATCTCAAAGTAAAAACCCTTTTAAAAAGAAGTCTTCCCAAAAAGTAGAGAAAATTCAAACTTTCGTGACATAAATGTTTGATGATATTCAGAAAAGAATGAATGAGAATAGAATTCAAACACTTAAAAACTCAGACAATATTTTACAGTTATAAGCCTTAACTGAGCAACACTAAAGAGAGATTGAAGGACAATCAGCAGATTTCAATAAAGCAGTAGAGTAAATAAACTAAATTTCAAAAGATATCTAAAGATTGGAAAGGATAGATGTAAAACTAAATAAAGAATTAGTTTAAAAGCCATTTTAGTATATTGATAAAGTAAAAGCAGATTTTGAAAAAGATTGGGCTGAGACTAAAAAGAAATTTTCTGATAATAATGAGAAATATATGGGAAAGTTTGTTAACCTTGAAAATAATGTATCAAAGTTACTCGTTGATACTTAAACTCTTCTTGATTAGTATAAAAAGAAAATAGGGTAAATAAGTTCTGATTTATAAGGAATTAAAACTATTAGAGATTAGGTCGAAAGCAAGGTAACTCACAATAATCAGGTGACTCAAAATTTGGCTGAAACTACCAAGAAAGATATTGCAAATGTATAAAAGGAGCTTCTTGAAATGAAAGAAAGATTAAGGAATGAAATAGGAAATTTAAAAGAAGAAAATCATGGGTTTATAAGAGAACTCTAGAGAAATCAGCAAGTTACTCGAGAGCTTCAGCAGGAATTTATGAAAGTTCTCAATGAAAAGAAAAAGGTGAATGATGATTTTATCACAAATTTGACTTAAACTTAGTAGTAGCAAACTTTATAATAAAAGATCAATATGAAGATTTAGAGTATGGTAAACAATGATGGGAAAAATACATTAATTCCAAATGATCAGAGTTTGCAGCTTTTGTTACCTTAGTTAAAAGCCCAATCATCAGTGTCAAATTAAGAAACATTATCAAGATAGATCAAGCTAAACAAGCTATTTAGTGAAAAAAAGAGTGTTGATTATAGTCACAATTCTTTGCTGAATTCCGTTAAGAAAAATGTACTCAATAATCTCAGTCATAACATTGAAAATGCAGAGGAGTAAATTAAGTTTCAAACATAAACTCAAGCAAAGTAAAAAATTAAATCTAAAACACCTCTGAGAGAAAGAGGAAAAACTCAAAGAAATTAAACTAATAATAGTTTTCTAAATCCTGATAAAACTGTATAAGATTTAAATATAGATGGTCAAAGTTCCAAATACCTAACTAATGATCAAAGATAGTTTAATGGTAATATGTCAATAGATAGTTTTGGATAAACTTCAAATGAATTCCATAAACTACATAAGATGATTGGGGATAGAATTTGATTATGAATTTCTTGATTTAATAACTCCTAATATTTATTCTCAATATCAAATGACGGGGTTTTGGGGTTTTGGGGTTTTGGGG